CTCCCTCGCTCCCTGCTCCTCCCTCTTATCCTCCTTACTTCTCCTCCTCCCGTCCTCTTTCTCCCCCGCCCTTTCTCCGCTCTTCTTCTCCTGGTCTCCCTTCTCCCTTCTCCCTTTTCCCTTCTCTCTCCTTTTTTCACTCGCTACCTCTCCCTCCCTCCTTCATCCCTCCTCCTCTCCCCATTCCTCGCCCACTTCTCCCTGGTCTACCGTTCTCTTCCCAACGTAATCTTCTTTATCAGCCTCATTCTCTTCGTCCTGATTCCCCTTCGTCCCAGGTGTTTGATGAATCGTTGGGTTTATTCCATCGGAGTGACACGCTTGTTCCGCTCCGCATTGCGCAGACCTTTGCCCGCTGCAGGGGCGGGTATATAATCGCGTCTTTGATAACTGGGCACGCGACCCGTTCTTCTCAGGGGGGCGACGCGACAGTGCGAAGATAGATGCGCCTCGCGTGGCTCGACAGCGCAACGTGAGGTGACATACGTAGACGCCGGTGCCGCACCATCAGGGCATGCAGTGCACTCGCACCGGTCCTAGCGAGACCGATCCTACGTCCATGATGGCCAGCATCGGTTTGGGCATTTAGACGCCGCCCTCCCATACAGCCGGGGCCCTGAAGAAGGAACCCTTTTCGTTGGGGAGGGGCTCCGTGTTCCTTGATTGTTTGACAGCTTGCCTTAGGTCTTCCCTAGGTTTTCTACGGGGAATCGAACTTTCACTGAAAAGGGGCATCGTTCCTTATTTAGCGTTCCTTAGGTCAACGCCCCCACTGTAATAGCATTGGTACCATGCCAGGGCATGATCTACTCCCACTTCGTGGCGCTCAAGATGTCGTTCATCTCGGTTACAATTCGCGACTCCGCGGTGAAGTACCACGAGAAGGCGTGCCAGTCACCTCTCCAACTGTCCTGGCATCCGTCCGAGTCGGCGACGGTTCCTCCTCCTCATTCTTCTCCTCCTCAGTAATATCAAACCTCCGGAAATTTCCAGAAGCCTTGGAAGATCGCTGGGAACACAAAGACATAACAGCCAGCGAGGACCCCAAACAGTATGTTGCTAGCAATATATGTTGTGCAACACACGTTTCGCAATCAACGTGGTGTAATTTATGTGGTTCAGTATCTGTTGTACAATATATGTTGTGCATGCCATGGGGGCCAGCATATGTGGTATAATATATGTGGTGCCATCTACGGTGTGCAACCTGAGTGGTGCACTCATTGTTATGCAAAATGCATTATGTAATCTATGTTCTATGGTGGGCAACCTACGTGGAGCAAGACATGTGGTGCACTCTAGTTGGTGCAATCAAGGTTGTGCAATCTATATTGGGCAATCGGTGTTGTGCAATACATGCGGTGCAACCTATGTGGTGCAATTAATCTCTGTTCACAGTGAGTTGTCCACTCCACTGCTCGCGCAAACATCCCACCCACTCACCCGCAACTTGGTTTGCAAAATCTCTTAAGACCGTGACGGTGGGTATCAAATGGCACTTGGCAACGACAGCGACGCCGACGACGACAGCGACAACGACGACGACGACGCCGCCGACAACGACTACGACGACACCGACGGCGTCTCCAACGACTTCGACGACGCCGACAATGACGACGACGACGACAACGACACCGACGACGACGACGCCGCCGACGCCGACGACGACGACGACGACGATGACAACGACGACGACGATGACGACGCCGACGACGACGACAACGACGACACCGTCGACGACGACGACGACGACGTCAACGACGCCGACGACGACGACGACGACGACGACGGCGGCGACGACGACGACGCCGACGTCGACGACGACGACGACGACGACGCTGACGCCGGCAACGACGACGAAGACTACGACGACGTCGCCAACGAGGACGACGACGAGGGAGGAGGGCGGACGACGTCGGCGACAACGACGACAACGACGACAACGACGAGGGAGGAGAGAGGACTGCGACGACGCGAACGACGAAGAAGGAGGAAGGACGGCGACGCAGACGTCAACAACGACGAGGGAGGAGGGAAGACGACGACGACGACAACGACGACGACGACGACGACGACGACGGCGACGAAATAGGAGGGACGACGACAAGACGCCGACGACGGACGACGACGACGACGACGAGGGAGGAGGAGGAAGGATGACCACGGCGATTACGACAACAGAACGACTTCGACGCCAAAGAGGACGACGACGACGAACACGAGGAAAGACAGAGGACGACGTAGGCGACGACGACGACGCGGGAGGAGGGAGGACGGCGACGTAGACGACGACGACGACGACGCAAGAGCGCGCGCGCACGCTTTTGTTGAACATCAGTGTTGCGAAACCTTATGTTTTTGTAGGTTTTTTGGACACACGATTTTGAAATCCTTCCGAAACCCATGCTTTTTGATGGATTTCGGCATGCGCGCGCGACGACGTGCGCGCGCACTTCGTCAGATTGTTTGCAGAGGATTCTCGCGACGGCGCGCGCGCAAGGGCGTTTGACAGATTTCGACATGCGCGCGCGCGAAGCCCGTGTGGTAGAATTTCATGAAATCTTGAAAAACCTGTGGTTTTTGTCGAAAGATTTCGCAAGAGCTCGCGCGTAAGCTTTTTTAGCAAATCAGTGTTGCGAAACCATGTGTTGTGTATGCTTTTTGGAAACTCGATTGCGAAATCCTTCCGACACCGAAGGTTTTCGCAGGATTTCGGCATGCGCGCGCGACGACGCGCGCGTGTGCACTTCGTCTCATTTTTTGCAAGGGATTCGCGAAACAAATGTTATGCTAGCACACAAGATGTCCCCGCGTATCTATTTTTACCAGGGAACCTCAGGGGGACCGATCCCGGTTCCCCTGGGATAGTGTAAATTCACATTTAGGATGGACATGTGGTCATAATCATATATGATTTACATACCCGAAAGGAGGGCGGATAACGCCGGGGGGGGGTAGAGTCTATTTTCTTTTTAGAAAAGAAAATCAACGTGGTGCAATTCACTTTGACTGTCTGGGAGCTGTCCTTCCCACTGCTGGCGCGAACGTCCCACCCTCCCACCCGCAACTTGGTCGCAAGACCTCGTAAGACCGTGACGGTAGGTACCAAATTCTACTTGGCAGCGACACCGACGACGACGACAGCGACAGCGACGACGACGACGCCGACGACTACGACGACACCGACGCCGACGCTGACGACATCGACGACGACGATGACGACGACGACGACGACGACGACACCGACCGCGACGACGACGCCGACGACGACGATGACGACGCCGACGACGACGCCGACGACGACAAAGACGACGACGACGAAGACGACGACGCCGACGTCGCCAACGAAGACGACGACGACGAGGGAGAAGGGAGGACGACGACGGCGACAACGCCGACAACGACGAGGGAGGAGGGAGGACGGCGACGACGCGAATGACGAAGAAGGAGGGAGGCCGGCGACGCCGACGACGACAACAACGAGGGAGGAGGTAAGATGACGACGACGACGGCGACGAAATAGGAGGGACGACGACGAGACGCCGACGACGGACGGACGACGACGACGACGAGGGAGGAGGAAGGACGACCACAGCGACAACGACGACTACGCCAAAGAGGACGACGACGACGAGGAAAGACAGAGGACGACGATTGCGACGACGACGACGACGACGGAGGAGGAAGGACGGCGGCGACGACGACGACGACGACGCAAGAGCGCGCGCGCACGCTTTTGTTGAAACCCGTGTTGCGAATACCAGTGTTTTGTTTGATACCAGAGAAAAAACCCAATCATAATCTTTTTAGGGCTGCAGGGCTACAGGGCTATATGGGCTATATGGGCTCTTGGGCGCTATATGGGCTATATAGCTATATGGCCATATGGGTTATAGGGCTATAGGGCGATAGGGATATAGGGCTATCAGGCTATATAGGGCTACAGGCATTGGGCACCCGGGCACCCGGCACCCGGCACCCGGCACCCGGCACCCGGCACCCGGCACCCGGGCACCGGGCACCCGTCACCCGGGCACCTGGGCACCCGGGCATCCGGGCACCCGGGCCCGGCCACCGATCGGCGGCGAACCCGGGCACCCGGGCACCCGGGCACCCGGGCCCGGCCACCGAATCGGCGGCGAACCCGGGCTTCCGGCCGGGCACCCGGGCACCTGGGCACCCTGGCCCGGCCACCGAATCGGCGGCACACCTCACCTACCCTTAAATCCGCTAGGAGCCCTACAGAGGCAAGCTCTGATTGGGGAATGTTTCTTGGACACTCGATTTTGAAGCCCCTCCGAAACTCAAGGTTTTTGATGGATTTCGGCATGCGCGCGCGACGACGCGCGCGCGCACTTCGTCCAATTTGTTGCAGAGGATTCTTGCGACGGCACGCACTTGAATGCCCGCCCTGTTTACTAAGTAGGAGGGCGGGTTGTAGGTTCTTAGAAGCTTTTATAACGTATGTTATAGACCGTTTATAATGTAGTGATCCATGGTTATATCATACTCAACCTGGTTGTAGTAGGGGCTATCCATTTAGGTGCTCCACAAGCTACTTGCTAATCGTGCCGCCTCTCGTAAACCTACTTAGCGTATTCGGCCTAAGTGCAGCTAACCTGGTTAAGCCCCCCCGAGCTAAACTGTTTACGGGTTTCGCTAAACAGGTTACGCGCACCCCCTAAACAGGTTAGCAACCTCAGAAATCAAGTTCCAGATCCTCCGAAATCAAGTTCCAGATCAATGATTTTCTAGATCAAGATTCTGAGTTTCAAGTTCCAGACCCAAGGATTTCACATTGAAAACTGTGAATTTCCTGAAGAGAATCCATCGTCTGATATACGAAACCGTTGAATTCCATTTTGGGGGGGGAGATTCCACCACCCAGAAACCCCAACCACAACCCCCAATGTAACTAGCCGTTTTGGCTGAGTGCGTCGTGGCGTCTGCGTGTAGACGCATCAGAGCTCGCACCGTCCATGGCGTCATCCGTTGCAAAGGCCATGGCCGACGTCGAGAATCGAGTGCTGGAGCTGCTGAAATCACATGGTGATGATGGAGGATTCAACCAGTTGAGGAGCAAGGCCGACGAGTTGATTTCTATTTTGCTGAGCCACAACCTTGCACGCAAGGAAAAAATCGAGAACAAGTATTTGCGCCCGCACAAGCACAACCGTTTCAAAACGGGCCTGGACCCCCTGGACGTGCATGCCCTACTCCTGCGTGTGGTCGGCCAAGGATGGAGCTGGGCCAAAGTCGGCGTCGCTGTCTGCTTCGAGGTGGAACCGTCTGACGACAGCATCTTCAAATTTAACGAGACACTCTACCGCTGCAGCGACAACATGTTGGCACCAGTAGACCAGGCCGATGTGAGGTTCGCGACGGTCTCGAGCAGCCACACGGTTGCCATGCTGAACGCCGTGAGCGCCAGGGCATCGACGTACTTGACAGAGCTCTCGCAGGACGGGAAGCTATCGCCTGAGAAGGTGCGGATGCATCCTACCAACCCGAGTGCCACGATTTGTGCTTTCCCATTGCCGCTGCCAGAGGCGGTGAATGAGAAAGCGCAGCGCCTCGGGTTGCGAGGGGTATCCTCGAAGGTCACCGCCGCGAACCCTGCGATGGCTGATCCGCTCAAGAACGGGCTGGAGTGGATCGTCATCCGCGCCTCAGTGGACAAGCAATGGCCATCAATGGCCGACTGGCTTCAAGAAGCATTGAACAGTGGGCATGGCACTGAGCGAGTGCAAACAAAAGTGCAGACCATGCTAGAAGTGCACCAGAAAGCGATGAGGAACTTCCGTGTGTCTGGCGAATATGGTTGGGAGAACATAGCTAAGGCCATCGAGAATGACAGGCCGCACATGATTGGCCAAGTCATGCCCATCTGCACGTTCGTGGCCAACTGGAGCGGCGGTGCTTCTGGCAACTATTTGACTGAGTTAGACGCATGGGCAAAAACCCTGAAGGTGAGGAGGGACGTGTCTGGGATTACATTTAAACTACTTGCAGACCTTCGCTTCGTGCAAGGTCCCGAGATTGTGTTCGCGATGCTGAAGGCCAGTTTCGTGTCTCCTGAGTCGATGTGCAAGAACGGCGTATCGGCCCTGCTGAGCGGCCAGGACATGGCCACGGTGACGGGCAAGGGCAAGCAGAATGTCCTCGCGTTCATCACCATGCTTCGCAAGGCCAAGGACTGGCTGCGCGAGATCATGAACAGCTCCGAGCTCAGGGGCAACCTCACAGACAGCGACGTCGCCAAGCTGACAGGCGACTTCGAGGTTCGCGTCGTGATGTTTATCTTCAACAAGAAGGTGCGATCCCGAAAGGCGTGGCAGTCCCTGGATGAGATCGGCTCGCAGCTGCTGAATGACGTGTACGACTTGGCCCCTGCCGCGGCGAAGCTCGAGCCCCCCTTCGACGTGAAGGCTGCCAACCACATCAAGCGCGCGGGCGTGGTCGAGCTCGCGATGCGCGGCTTCGAGGCTAAGGGCGTGGACGACGCCACGCTGATGGCGATGGGTTTCGAGGTCGGCGTGGATGTGGAGCTCGCTGCAGGCGGGCCGCAGAGGTGGAAGATTTCGTCCATCCGCAACGGCCTCGCCAAGTTGACGGTTGTAGGCCCCAAGAAGCCCAAGAAGATCACCGAGGAGACGACCGAGGTCATGACTGGCGTCCTCGTGGACAACTACAAGGCCACCGCCATTGAGCCACGCGGGAGAGAGAACAGAGGGAGGGGAGGAGGAGGGGGAGGAGAAGGAGAAGGAGGAGGAGGAGGGTGAGGAGAAGGAGGAGGACGAGGAGGAGGAGGCGGGTGAGGAGGAAGCGGAGGAGGATACGGCGGATGATGAGAAGGAAGAGGACAACACGGAGGAAGAGGCGGCTGAGGAGGAGGACGGAAACGGAGAGGCGGAGGCGGAGGAGGAGGATGGGGGCGGAAGAAGAGAAGGAAGAGGAGGAGGAGGATATCCGTTGTCAACTTCGCGTCCGCCTTTCGGAGTGCAGGGTGGGAAGTTGGATGAGGAGAGGGGGGCGAATGCTTTTTTTTTTTTGTAGTACAACTACAGGAACCAGTGCTATATGTATATATAGATATATATACATCGATAGCAATGATTCCCGTAGTTGTACGGCTGACAAGGCCAATCCCTCGAAACCACGGAAACCACGTTTTATAGAGACGCCTGGCTCTGGGGAGGGGAGAAGAGGAGGGGGGGGCGGCCGCCGCCAGGCCCTGCCGAAACAGATCACCACCATCGTGGACGTCGGTCCCACGGCTTGTTCGGCCAAGGACTGCTGCGCTCGGGAGGAGGTCGAGGAGGGATGATGGGGAGGAGGGATGGAAGGGAGGATGGGTACAGGGGGAGGAGGAGGAGGAGGAGGAGGAGGAGGAGGAGGAGGAGGAGGAGGAAGGGCAGGAGGAGGAGGAGCAGGAAAAGGACGATGAGGAGGATGAAGAGAAGGAGGGGGGGGAGAACGAGAAGGGGAGGAGGAGGAGGAATAGGGAGGACCATGTACACCGACGGACAATAATGAGGAGGAGCAGCCGCAACATAAAGATGAGAAGAACGATGAAGGGGACGGATATGGATAACACCTTGCTCACCGAGACAGGGAACGCAGGGAGAGGAGGAGGGGGAGGAGTGAGTTGCGTTGGAGGTCGGTATGAGGGTGCAGCGCCGCCCGCCCAGGACCACAAGGACTGGGTGATCGACCACATCAAGACCGATGCCAAGCAGGCCCTCGCCGCTGCTTTTTCTATGTTTGAGCCTAAGGTCGAGCTGCGTGTGATGTTTCAGACGGGTGTGAAATCCACGCCTCCATCCGTGGTAGCGACTCGGTCGTATGAGAAGGGTCAGCTCATCCTAGTTGCGTTGAGCACGAATGTGGGGATCGCTGCAAAGGTACCCGCTAGTGCAGTTGAGTTTCGTGGCGTGTGCGGCGTGCCTGATGACTTGCACTGCTTTGCGATGCCGTACGCTGCCACGCCAGTGAGAATCGATGGGTCAGATGAGACCCACTCGTTTGTTGTGCCATTTTGGTGCGTCCCCGTGGCTACAGATGGCCACCCAGCGAACATGACTCCATGTGCTCTTTCGATTCGCTGGCAGCCTGCCGAGATTATGGGCAGGGGCAAATCCACCAGCAAAGAATTCAGCGTCCCTGCCCTCTTCAACAATAAGGCCATCGCCAAAGGCGATGCCCTGTACAAGTCGGCCGACTCGGCCAAGAGGGACGCACCTGCCAGTGCGACCGCAGGGACCTCGAAGAAGCAGAAGCACTCATGAAGTGCCACCGTCTGCTCGCGACGGAGAGACGCATTCAGTTGTTTTTTAGGTAGCCATGAGGCGTGCCGCGCGATGGGGGGTGCATGGAGACAAGCAAGCACATAAACAAACACGCGAGACACACAAGCACATACACAAACACGTGTGTGGGGATGGGGGTCGGACATCGCCCGTGGCATGGCACGAACCCAGATTCCCAGTCACAAGTTCTCTTTGCTAGCGGCTCGGAGGAGCGCTGCGAGGAGGACGCCGCAGTTGCTCCCCAGCGTTGCTCGCGCTTCGCGCGGTCTATCACGCGCAACCCAGCGCATGGAATATAGGTATCGCTACGCGTGCTCCGAATCCGCGATCAGTCGCGACCCGTTGAGCTGTGCGTATTTGTAGGTGGTGCGATATTGGCCAGGGTTCGTGGTAATGCGCGGCTCGTTGGACTAGTTTGCGCCTGAGTTCAGACATCATGTACACACAGTTTGCCAGACAGCCGAGTCCATAGAACGGCTATAAGGAGCGACAGTCGAGAGGCTAGTGGCAGAGCGAAGGGAGAGGAGGGGAGGAAACGGTGGGAATGATAAAGACGAGGATGGCATGGGATGGGAAACGGCGCTCTCGGGACATGAGGGGGGGGTGAGGGTGGCAAACGCAAGGCCGATGTCGGGTTGAGCATCGACAAAACAGTGCGATCACGCAATGGGCGTGCGAAGCTAATGCCGAATACAAATGCGACCGCCTAAAGAATCGCAAAACGCCCGAAGACCCCGACCCCCCACTTAAACAACCATCCCTCCCACCGTAGCGACACGACCCCCATCAGAAACGTCAACCATCATCAGGTATTGTAATGTAATATATGCTCCCATGGTCGGCTGAAGGCGACACGTGACGCAATCCCCCTAAGGAAGTTCGAGAGCCCCCCCATGACACAGCCCCCCAGGCTAATGATGATGATACCGATGATCCTCGAATGTCGTAGCCATCTGGGCTCAAGCTCGCGCCTGGATTTCGCTCCTGGAGTCAACGCTTAGCACGGACAATGGCAGCAATTCACGACAACGTTGTTGTGATTTCTGGCCAAGAGGAGCCGTCTTTGGCAACGTCGTGGGTTACTTTTGTGATCGATGCGCACGACACAAGATGGATTGAGCTGGATAAGCAGGATGCACGATTGCGAAAATTTGTCAACCATGACTTTTCGATGATCGACGAGATTAAGCGCCATCGGAACCAGATTAGCCTCAAGATGATGGTTGAGAAAGACAATGAGGATACCGTCGATCCTGCTGCTGACGAGGATGCGTCGGAGGGTCCCGCCCTCAAGAGGGCCAGGAAACATGCGGCAGATGAGATCGAAGGCCACGACTCCTCCCCAAAGTGCCACCTCCTCCAACTCATCATCCCCCCCTGTGTTGTTTTTCATACCTGTCCTCCTCGCCTGCATCTACCGTGGCCTTCGCATCTTACCTCCGATGTCTCAGCAGGGTATGCGACTGTGACGGTCGAGGACGACCGCGGCCAGTCACACTCCGTGCGCGTGTTTACTGCAGCGTATGAGCGGACTAAGCTTACCATGGAGCTCACGACGTCCAATGTAAACTTGATACGTGCCAAACCTCGTGTACCCGACTCGCCAGAAGTGTATAACCCTACCATCCGTGAGCCTAATGTTTCGTGGTTGGCGTATCGGTCTTCTTGCAAAATTCGATGGTATGACAGGGCTGCCAAGAAGTGGTGCAATAAAACAATGGCTGTCAGGGGTGACACTCATGAGGATATGCAGGCACAGTGTGATAAGATTGCTCGTGTATTGCAGGTCTTTTACGAACAGCACCACTCGGCATAGGCTGATGGTGCGCTGTGCGTGCGTGGGTCACGCGCTCGCATATAGGTGTGGCCCGCATGCAATGTTTAATTTGTTTGGCTAAGTTCTGAATGTGTATGCGCTCGTGTCGTTGCTCCGTGGTAGCTGCGTGACACTGCATATAGGGGACATGCTACGTGTCGCGCGGGGTGTGCACCAGTACAGGCATCGTGAGTGCATGCTGCGTTTTACCATCCCTAGCCACCCGTTCCCAGGGTAGTGACGCACCCGAATTGACCGTGGATGGGGCGTCGGATGCATGTCGCTATCGTGATATCTGTCATGTACACGTGGCGGTGCGAGAGCAAAACACATGCACCGTGAGCCCTGCCCGCACAGAGACGTCGAATCTGCCCAGATGAGCTCAACCCTGAGGAGGGTCGAGCGCATTTGAGCTCAACCCCCAGGGGGGGTTCGACTCAGATGCGCTCAACCCCCAGGAGGGTCGAGCGCACTTGGAACTGATGAAATCCTTATAGACTGGATGCGCTCGACCCTCCTGAGGGTTGAGCTCAAATGCGCTCGACCCTCCTCAGGGTTGAGCTCATGGGCGTTCGGGCGCCCTGAGTGTCGAGCTCCGCCGGCTGCCCCAGAGGCCGAGGGGGCGGTGCACCGCCCGCGGAGGGGGGGGGTCCTGGGTGGCGGCAGCTCGGGCAACTCTCCCAGATCAGATTTCGCAGCTTTCCTACCCCAATTTGCCGCTCCTCATATGCTGATATCGTCCTCCTCTGCCATAATAGGGGCGATGCGGAGAGCGAGAATGAGGAGGGATGAGCCTGGGGATGCGGAGTGGGGGGGTGACGCGGGGGGGGCGACGAGGGGGGGCGAGAGAGGGTGAGGACGAGGGATGGAGGAGGATGAGCATTGGGAGGGGGAGGGTGATGACGAGGGGGGGGGAGGTCGAATGGCGCGATGAGGACACGGAGGCCGAGGATCAGAATGATAAGGGTAGGGGCGGCGAAGAGGGGGATGAGGGAGGCGAGCATGAGGGGGAGGGATGAGGAGAATCGTTTCCCCCCCAAGTTGGCTCAGCACTCTGAACTAAGTGGAGGCGAATGATGAGGGGCTGGATCGGATGAGCAGGTGGATGAGGTCGAGAAACGCGGCAAACGCCTACGCCATTTCGCAGTCCTGGGGCCAGCATCTGAACGTATTGTTGTACGCGTCCCCTCACCTATATTCCTGCTGCTGCTGCTCCAACTCCTCATCCTGCTGCTCCTCATGCTCCTCCCCCTCTTCCTCCTGCTCCTCCTCCTCCTCCTCCTCCTCCTCCTTCTGCTCCTCCTGTTCCTCCTGATGCTGCTGCTCCTCCTCATCATCCGCATTGCCCCCATCCCCTCCCTCCTCCTCCTCCTCTTCCGTGCCCTCCCCCTACCTCCGTAGCCATTTTGGCTCGCGCCACTTTGCCTATATCGACTTGCGCTCGCACCACCTGCGACCGACTGCCGCCACCAACTATGGCGTCGACCGATCTCGCGACGACGCAGGCTGCCGTGAGGCAGCGGGCAGCATTCATCACCGCCCAGATCGCAGCTGGAGTGCCTGGACCGGCCTTGCTGGACGCCCAGACTCGCTCGCTGGCGAACTACTTCAGGTCCGTTCGCTCCATGACGCACGAGTCCGCCACGGCATTGACTGAGGAGCTGAATCGTGGCCCGTGGACTGGCGCCCAGGTTGCGTCGCTCGCCCAAGTGTTGGGGGACTCCATCGGCGCGCCTGGCACGCAGGGCGGCCCGCGCGCGCAGCAGAAGAACACCACCCTGCACAACTACTTCACCGAGTCAGACTGGGTACAGTTCAGCGACCGCGGCAAGAGCATGCTCGCCAAGATTGTGGTCATGGCGAACAGGTTTTGGTGCATCGGGGCGTCTTGCCCTGGCGAGAAGATGCTGGTGCGTGGCATCAACATCCTGAGCGAGATTGGCCTGTGCGAGGAGGAGAAGACCTTCGACGCGTCGACCTTCAAGAAGTGGTGCTCAGATCTGCAGTCGCAGGTCAAGGCGCTCGATCGCACCAAGCCAAAGTGGCCAGGTGCTCACATCACCACCTACCCGAACGGACCGAACGACCTGGATGCAGCGGTCAAGGCGTTCGCCTACGAAGACGGCGCGCCCGTGAACCCCCCGTCTGACCTCGACCTCCAGCGGATCGAGCAGTTGACTCTGGACAGGGGGTACAGGACCACCCACAGCTCGTTCAAGCCTAACCCCGCGGCATCATCATCCTCGCAAGCACTCGCCACACTGGGTAGCGTTGGCCCGATGGGCCCGATGGGCAGTGTGCCTGGCATGTTTCAGCAGTTATCTCAGATGTTGGAGATGGCCAGGCAGTTCAACGCGGTGATGCAGCCCCCCAGCACATTGAGCAGCCCACCCGAGGCAGCAGGCATCCAGATCTTCGATCGGCCCCGCAAATCAGATGATGTTGCGAGCCGAGCTAGCAGCCGCGGGACTCTCAGCGCAGCGACCTTGACCATGGGCGTCGGTGGCGGCCCTGACTCGCAAGGGTCGGCTGGCACTGGTACCCCCCAGCCTTCCCCGCGCACATCGCCAGCGGAGTCGTATGCAGCTGATGCCTTGGTGCCAGCGCCTGCCGCCCACCTACCTGATGCACCCGAAGAGGCTGAGGATGCCCAGGACCCCGCGCGGGACCTGGAGCGCAGGCTCAATGCTTCGGCCGCGGCTGCTGGCAGCCACCTCCAGCACAAGGCGCCGAAGGGCAAGTCGGCCGCCGCGAAGGCCGCTGACAAGGGCAAGAAGGCTGCTGCCAAGGGCGCGGGCAAGGGCAAGGGGAGGGGCAAGGGCAAGACCAGGGGCCAGGCCAAGGGCAAGGCTAAGGCCAAAGCTCGGGCCGCGCCTGCTGACCCAGCCGTCGCCCCGAAGCCCTGCGGCGTCTCAGGCGCCCCGCTGGGGAAAGATGATGTGGGGGAGGAGAGGGGAGGAGGGAGACGAGGTGGAGGACGATGAGGAGGAGGGGGAGGAGGAGGAGGAGGAGGAGGAGGAGGAAACAGATGATAAAGATGGGGAGGATGGGGAGGAGGAGGAGGAACATGAGGAGGAACGGGAGCAGAGGGGTCCTGCTCCTCTACCGCCCGCGCCATCCCCCGAGGCGTCATCAAGATCGGCGGCACCACCATCAGCCTGAA